AGCAAACGGGATATAATGGTATTGAAAACATTGATATGAGTAGTAACAGAACCACCTTCCCGCATACGAGTGTTAACTAATTGTCTAATCAAGAATACCTTATTAGACGCGGAAGGTTTCTCATACATGTTTGACAACGTTGTCATAACCCCACGAGTAGTGGTCTCTTTCACGATGTTGAAAGCCACACTCTTTGTCAAAGTGCACCTGATGACGGCTAGGGCTTTTCTATCCAAGTCAGCCCATTCTTCATCCTTCATCTTCTCGGGTTTCTGACCTGTCAAACATGGAAGAAGATCTTTCTACATAGCAAGTCCTCGACTTGCATCTTCCACCATCCAAAATCTTGCCCATCAAACTTCTCTATCCTGATCTTTTCGTCCTCAGACATCATCTCTTCTGAGTATCCAAAAAACTGACCAGAGAACACGTGAGAACAGATTGAAACAAACAACCAGAACTGACCTCGAAAATTGCAGCAGCAAACTGAACAGCAAGGTTGTTCGGACTGCCAACAGATGACTATATCGTTGGTCTTCTGATGTGTCGGCAGAAACCCTAGAGTCGCTAGGGTTGGCAGTGGAGGCAGATCTGTGTGTACGACCTAGGCTCCGATACCAGTTGTTAAGAACAAAAGCACACACACGAATATAAAGCAAGAAAGCGATAGGGGCAACTAGGGTTTGTATTATTGAGTGATAATGATTACAAGTACAGAAGATCATATATATAGACAACTAATTAGGGTTTAACCCTTGCTGGACAAGTTATAGCAAACTGGGCTTAAAACCATTTGGGCCGGCCGAAACCCTAATCTGGTCTCCTAACTCTCAGTTGTCTACAAGTGGGCCACTTTGGGCCGATGACTACACATCACCAATAGGTTTGTGCGGGTTTTGTGTTGTTTGGACCGGAGTAGTTGTTTTTGTTCTTGTTGCAGTCTTTTATAGGTTCGATGTCTTTTGCCTTGTACTCCGTATCTGTTTGTGTGTTTTTTCCCCATTAGCATTTTTTTTATATTTGCTCTTTGATTGTTTTTGGTGTTATGGTTTGTCTATGCTTCTCGAGTTCGGGGTCTCTTGGAAACCTCTCTACTATCCAAGTAGGGGTAAGGTCTGCGTACACACACCCTCCATAGACCCTTCTTTTGTGAGATCTTATGGGTTGTTGTTGTGTGGGTTTTGTAATCATCGGTTGGGGCGGCTAATTTTTACATTGGTTGTTTCTTATAAGAAGATTGTCAATTTTGGGATGAGGTTCTACAAGGATTTGTGATGCTACTTTCAATTTGATTGATTCATTTGCAATTTTTGTTTGTTAGAAGGTGTCCTTCAAGTTTGAAAGATGAAAGCCAATAGGAAAATATGTAGTGACACCCTAGGCCCAATGGAGCACCGTAGGGCCCCCCATATGGCTTTGGTCTCATATTATGCCACCATAGCTTGGTGTCAAAACTACTCAACCACACTGTGTGGAGACCCTCATGGTCAAACTTTGGGACTGCAATAAGTTAGGACCCATGATATAGGTTTGCAGGAAATGTTAGTATAAAAACTGAAGATCCCATGCTGCCAGTTTTGCCCCCATAAACAAGATGTCCAAAAAATCTATTTATGATATCTGCGTTCGAGTTTGCTCAATTCACCAGTATTATAACTTTCAAAAGCCTTCATCGGTCTCGATCACAGAATTCATGTACTTAGGTAATACAAACACATTCCTCTTGCATCATCTTCCAAGTGGGTCATTAACTCAGCTGCCATAGATCATATGGTAGGTAATCAACATCTATTTTCTCCCTGTAAATCTCATTCACCCAAGTCCCTTGTGAGTTACGATTCTAGCTAATGGGTCTACCTCATTGGATCAGGCCAGCTGTTCCCACTCCCGCAATCTCCTTGTTTTTTATTTTAATTCTACCTAACTCTTCATTTGTTCTCTGTACTCCGAGTCTCTTTAAGTGTTTAGTGGCTTTCTTTCCTGGTTATTGCGAGTTTCAAGATCTCATGACAACAAAGATTATATATAAGGGGCATGAGTCTTGGGCTTAATATTCTTGACACCTTAATCCCAAAAGTGGTTACCTATTTGTGTTGAAACACAGCCACAAAATGGGGTTGCCAATCCCGAATTGGGGTTTGCAGGGCCAGTTTTGCCTCCACAAACCGCTAGGCGCTCAATTTGTGAGCATTTCCAAAGTGTATTCCTTGTCTTCACACGGTTGTGGAAATATTTTTTCATCATTTCAGTTTGGCATCCCTACCATTACCTCATGACAAAAAATGCTTCTTGAAGGTTAAGGCCTGTATTACTTCATGATTATGTTTACAGATCTGATCTGACCTGAGAGAACACATCAGCACTTTAGATTTTTGCCACATAAGATTACACTCAGACTCTCTCTTCCTTCCATTTTTTACTGACTTGTTTTTTATGCAAAGTAACAGATCATCAAGTCTAACATTGTGTTACCCTGTTAGGTAGACAATTGGAAGATTCGGGTGTTCTGAATGATGCACTTTGTTTGCGAAGTAATTCATGGGGCCTCCATATGCCACTTGTCTGTCCTGATGGAGCTGTTGTGGCCTATGCATGGAAGCGCCAACTTGCTGGTCAGGCTGGTGCATCCGCTGTTGATAGGACCAGGTATATTTTGAAACTTTTTTCTCATTCTCTTTCCACAGAATGTTTTCTTTAAAAAATACTTTAATAAATATTCTACCCATGAATAGTTATCATGGCACCAAGTGAAGTGTGTCATCAGTGGACGGCCAGAAAGCCTAGGCCACCACCTAGGCGATTGTTTGGCAACAAATCATCAATGATAAATATAATAAAATTAGGCGAAGGTTATGAAGGGAAAATCTACACTACTAAGTGCTTTTGGAAGGAAGAAAATAAATAGTAAGGTATAGGACTAGACTTTGGGCCAAGGCATCATCAAGGTTAACTATTGTTGTCAAATATTTAATTAATAATTGGAATAATAATATTTCTGTCACAAATTTTTCATTAACTTATCCTAGTTAAGGTACCATTGATGTGTTCTAAAAAGTTTGGCTTAATTAATATATATCCACATAGACAAGGCAAAAACTAATTTCCAATAATTAATGAATTTATCTCTGACATAATTAATTAATATAACAAGAAAATAAATTCTAGAACAAGTAATCCAACCATTAATGTGGGTCCTAACTCCTACTAAATATTAACAGTGCATTAAAAAAAGAACATTTTATTAAAATTGGAAGTAATAAAACTTACAACCATGAGCAGAGTCGGAGCCACTTTGGGACAACCGGAACAAAACTATGCTAAAATATTAAAATAAAACTGAAAACAAGAGCTAAATTGGTGTACGGGCCTTGGAAGACCCCGGAATTGGGGTGGTGAAAAATGAGGGCCGAAGGAAGGCTTTTATAAGTGAAAAATTTGGTGAGGCCTCGGCCCTGGGGCTTCACCAGATGCCTCGGTCTCCCATCATGGCACCAATGGCGGCTGATTTGCTAAAGTGGGCTGCTGATTGGATTTTGAACAATTACCCAGACGGGTGAGAGCTGGGGCCTCACCCAAGGCTTTGGCTGTCCGAATCCGAAATTTAATTTTCAAAAGCCTATTCTGATCAAAATTTCATTGAGATGGATTTTTCCGTTTGCGCCAACTTCAAATTTCAATCCGATTTGGGTCAAAAAAATTAACTTTGAGGTAAATCATTGTTTTTTTTGTTTTTTTTCAATCCAAACAAATTTTTTGGGTTATTTTTCAATTTGTTTGACTTCAAATCTTTTGACATGGTGCACCATCACAGTTTATTATGCACTTTTTACTCCTTTAACTTCCACCATCTTTTGCCCCTTGCTCCTTAGTCTTGCAATTGTTCTTTCTTGACACTTTTGCATTGCTTTTGACCCAACTTTTATTTCTTTTAAAACAGAGACATGACTTTTGTGCACTTTTATAATTATGAACACAAACTTATAAAAACAAACAAGAACTTGTCTTGGTTGATTCAAAATTGGACAATAACACATCAAATATGGAGCAAATAAGTGCGTAAAAAAATATACATTATTTTAGAAAGATGTTTAGATATGTTTATAATCACTATTTGCCTATATGGTATTCTTCATTTGTTATTATGGGGTTTGGAGTATCCTTTGTTAAATGGCTCAATAACTGAGTCAACAGTAAGTGCCACTTCAATGACATTTTGACGGGTGCTTGCAGACTAAAGGGAAACTAGCCTGAAGTGTTAGATTTAATCGTATTGTTTAATTCCTGTTCAGAAGTTAGTTTAGATTTAAATTTTAAAAATAAAAGGGACAGTTATGAGTAGTTATTTCTGAAAGTTATAGGTAGCTATTTCTGGAAGTTGTATTAGTTAGTAATAGATGTGTTGATTAGTACCAATAGTTGTGTTGGTTGCTGTCTATAAATATTCCAGGAACATATTCCTGAATGTAGTTCACAAAAAAAATCACAATTCTATTCTGCATTTGATTTGTTCTTCCTATCATTTTTCTAACATGAAGAATATTGCTTGAAACTTATCCTTGTTTCACGCCACAATAACCGGCGATGTTTCAGTAAAAGTTAAGTCCAAATCATATCATTTTCAATATATACTCAGGTGCACGATGCCTCTAGAGAAGCTTTATGAATGTCATTACAATGACGATTTCATGTTGGCTTAGTTAGGGGGCATATATCAATTGGGGCCAAATGTTTCATGCATTTGGTTCTTTTATCCAAGTCCTTTTGAGGGAACTATTCAGATACAATGAATATTTCTCCAAGCAGCCTTGGACATGACATGACTTCAAAATGTTATTTACAAGCCTCTGAAAAACCGAATGGTGTCACACAAACTGTTTTGGTTCAGAGATCATATGAGGCTTAGATCAAAAGGGGTCGTCCCCAAACTAAAGCCGTTTGAGGGTAAGGAATGATGGTCCTACATTTCTTTCCTAGTTTGCTTTGTATATTCAATTTATTTTGGTGTTAGCCCGTCCTAATCATGTCTTTACTCCACATTTATATCATTTTAGAGTTTTTCATTTGTGATGAGACTTTAACATGTAAGAGGATTTGACTTCTAAGAAAACCCATCATAGTTTAAAATCCACGTGAAACAATTAAACTACAAAATCCCAAAATTCAACACTTGTAAAAATTAGATCAATCAAAAGTTGTCAAAATAAAACCAGCCTCATAATTTAAAAATCAACACTAACAAACACTAAAGGGGGAGTAAAAATTGCCAAAGATTATGGTGAAACATAAAACATTACATTGGTAGCTCATGAATTAAATCAACAAACAGCAGAGAAAAACTTAGACAATCTAATCGACCAAGTCGCTGCAAAGAAAAACAAACTGACTTCCTTAACAATCTAAAATACAAGAGTGGGGCTCTGCGTGTAGGATTGGAGGCAAGATACATCATGCTCGCATTGGTTCCAAGCTCTGACTCTACTTTTTAGCTTCCTATTATCAACTAGGAGTCGACTAACCAACTCTGCATTTCACTTTGGACTATGAGTTGACTAAGAAGAAAGGACACCTATTTGTTAGTAGAAGTTTTAGTTTGTAAAAACATTAGTGACTTTTTATTGCTTTTAAGCCAATTTAGGTGATATTTGGACGCCTAGCATCCTCAAACGAGTTGGTTAGGCAAGAAACTCCCAGTGGCAAGAATTGTCCAGGTGATTCCTAGACAACGCCTCGATATAGTCTCATATTCTATGTCGCATTTTAAGGAAAAGGTGATGCTATTTAGTATACAAATTTATCCTTCCGGAGAAAGGAGAAAAGAAACATAGGACCTACCTAGAAAATGTTGAAATGCAGATGAAATGTTAAATTGGAAAAAACCCAAAAAAATGGTGTTTAAAATAGAAATTGAGCATCATTATAGGACAAACTAAGAAAGAAAGTACATCTTACAAAATAGAACAGGTTAATGATACAACTTGGGGGGGGATAGTTCTGTAGGGCAAGATCAGAACAAATCAATAACACAGAATTTTCGTGGTTAAAAACACTATCCGGATTTTTTGTGTTCTCTCATATAAATAGAGAACAAATCAACACACTATTACAAATCAACACAACTATTTGAATATAGGAAAAACTAACAGAAACTATCCATAATTGTTTTATTATTGTTATTAGTTTAAACCTAGAACACATAATTCGCACATAACGTTTCAGAATTCCCTCACTATTTGTGAATTAACGAACTCAGTGCGCGAGCGGCACTCTAAGGCGCACTAATGTTTCTTAAGTTGTAAACTAAGATTTGTTAGCATACGCTTTAGGATTTCATAATTCGTGCTTTAGGGTGTGATAATTCTCGCACTTTCATTTATTAGTTCTTGACTTAGTACCTTGTTGCTGCTACTAAAGCTTCTTAGTTCTTCACTAATTCTTCTTCTGTGTCATGTTATTAGAGAACATTAGTAAAAAAATTATTCAAATTATTACTTCATTCATTCACAGCTAATCTTCCAGATTGAATTGCGATATAAAATTATATTCAATTTAATTATTCAAGCATTGGTAGGGTGGAAAATTAGAGAATAAATTTGTACTAGTAAATTTTATAAATATAGAGTACATGAAAGGTTACATTGATCAAGACATAATGATATGATTAAAAAATATTTAATGTGAAAGAATAAATAACTTGACTACTTGATCACTGATCAGCAATTAAAATATTAAAAATGAACGAAGTGAGTATTATATACATACATGAATGAGCGGATACATAAACCATCTTCCATACTATAAAATATTTATACAATTTGACTTTAAAAACTCATAATGGACAAATACTTTTGAGCAAAGATAATAATATTTTTAATAAATTTTAAATTTCCGAGACTTTAAAAGGAGAAGCTAGTTCTCTTTCGAGCAAAGAAACAAAATAAGAACATATGCATTTTCATTATGTCTCAACTTTTTCATTAAAGCCACTAAGTTAAAAATTGTTTTTTTAAAGAGTAGGGTCGTATTAATAAACTCTATGAACTATATACTCCTTTTTCTTAAAATAAAGTAAAATACAAGTAGAGTAAAAAGAGAAAAACTTGAGATATATGTGTGCATGCATCTATATATGTGTGTGCATATGATTTTTACTGACGCTTTAAGTCGCACCCGCATTCATAATATTTTTTATTTTTGACGCATTCACGAACCCGCACTTGCACTCGCATTTGCTCGCGCATCCGCTTGATGTGATCTAGGATTAAACTAATTTTTGAACCGGAATTAACCAACATTCGCCCCCTTGATTCCGGTCTTCATTCCTGCAAAATCTTCAATGCCCATCAGTTGCCTCATCTCGATAAACTTGACCCTCGGTAATGCTTTAGTCAAGATATCAGCTTTCTGCTCTTCACCACTTAAATGCTTGATCTTTACTAGCTCTTTCTCAACACATTCACAGATGAAATGATACCGAGTGTCAATCTGCATACTTCTCCTATGGAACACTAGATTCTTCATTAACATGATTGCAGACTCATTATCTACATGAATTATCATGGGTTTCATGCTTTGACCAGTGATTTCTTCATGCAAGCCTTTTAGCCAAGCGGCTTGACATGCTTTCACCGTTGCTGCCATGAACTCAG